GACCTCCTGGCCCCAATACCTCCCAGGAATCCCCAAGCCCCATGCGCTCCATGGCTGTACCCGCCCTGGCAGGGCCCACCTTGCCCACGTAGTAGAAAGGGAACCAGGACAGGAGTAGATCGCTGAAGAACTCGGCCAGCCCGAACAGGGCGTACACCACCCAGTACGTGAGCCACACAGTGTCGTCGTCCTTGCTTGGGCTCTCGATAGCTTTGATTCTGCAGGGAGGCGCAGCAGGGTCAGGGGCTGCCCGGGAGCCCCCAGATCCCCCCACGTGGGCAGCCAGCCGTGCACTCACGATGCATATGCGGGGTAAACAAATCCGATGAGATTGCACAGCAGAGACGCTCCGTATCCGAACAGCAGATACAGGCTTAGCAGAGTGACGGCTCCTGCGGGAGAGAGGTGGCGGTGTGCTAGGGCCAGGGACCTGCTGAGTCCCTATGACAGTACCCAGGCTTCCTTTCAGTCGACAGAGACTGCAACCTCCTCAGAAGCCTTGGTGATGCCTCTAGGATGTGTCCACTGCCCCCGAAGTGTCTGTGCATCCCCTCATCGTGCCCCTAGGCCCCGAGCCTTGTGTCTGTAACTGGTCAATGTGTCCATGTCCCCCACCATGGTTGAGAGCTCCCCAAGGGCAGGCAGGAGCTTGACACTGGGCAGTGGGGGTGGGTGCAGAATAGCTATCCAATAAAGTGTTTGCTGAGTGAGTAAGTGTAATCTGGCCAGATGTGGTGGCTCACGCCTGTAATCCCAGCACTTTGGGAGGCCGAGGTGGGCGGACCGGGCAGGCAGACCACCTGAGGTCAGGGGTTCGAGACTAGCCTGGCCAACATGGTGAAACCCCATCTCTACTAAAAACACAAAAATTAGCCAGACTTGGTGGCGGGCGCCTGTAATCCCAGCTACTTGAGACGCTGAGGCGGGAGAATCGCTTGAATCCAGGAAGTGGTGGCTGCAGTGAGCAGAGCTTGCGCCAGTGCACTCCAGCCTGGGTGAGATTCTTTTTTAAAAAAAAAAAAAAAAAAAGAATGAGCATAATCTGCAATGATAGGCATCTCATTCCAGGCCCTATGGGAGGCGCTGGGAAACGAGGCTAATGTTTCAACATAAGGGATGGGAGACGCCTGCAAGGGAGGCCAGGCTGTCATGAAGACTTGGTTCCAGAGCTGAGAAACGCAACTGTTTCATCTGTTATCTTAGTGCAGGGTTTCTCTGCCTTGGCACTGCTGATGTTCGGGGCTGGGTCATTCTTTTTTTTTTTTTTTTTTTTTTTTTTTGTTGAGACGGAGTCTCGCTCTGTCACCCAGGCTGGAGTGCAGTGGCGCGATCTCTGCTCACTGCAAGCTCCGCCTCCCGGGT